TGGGGCCGGTGGGTGGGCAAGAAAGAATAAATTCTCATTCTTTTATTGCTCATCGCCGCATTCCCATCCGGCGAGTGGAATCCAGCTGAGTGGGCCCTTTAATTCCCCACTGCTCCCTGAGGACGGACAGCGGGGACAGATAACACGTGCTCCGAGAAGGGGACGGAAAACTCCAGTTAGGGCAGCTGGGCAGAGCTGTGGGGCAGGAGGAGGCGCCAGGCCGAGAGAGGGCTCCCAGGGCCAGGGGCCCGCCCTGGGCTCTCCTCGAGGTGACCCTGGGGCTGAGGGAGAGCCATCTGTGACCTTTAAGGCCCCTTCCGTGTGCTCTCCTAAACGTGGACCTGGGGGACCTCCCGGCCAGCACCCCTCGGTGCTGCTCCCAGCCCTGGTGCTCATCTGTAGCAAGCCCCCTCCTACAATGGCTTCCTGTCAGCAGGCGTAGTTTACATCACGGTGGAACCAAGGCTGGTCTGGAAGGTCTGCCACATGGATACATATATAGTACTAAGTAAACATATGCACGTAAATAGATAAGCAGGGCATGCCAAAGCCGAACAAACAGACTGGGGCTGTGTGCCAGCATCAGCCCAGGAAAACCAAGAGCTGGGTGTGGCTGGACAGGCAGACGTGAGGTTGGGAGGGAAGGTGGCGATACCTGCAGAAAGGTTCTGGGCAGTCTGCGGTGCCCTCCCAGGTCCTGCAGGCCAGCGCCTGCCCCAGCTGCAGCCCCTGGCAATTCCTGAGCCCAGGGTGGTGCCTGAGTAGAAGGCAGCAGGGGCTGATGGGAAGGGCTGGCCATGGTCATGTGACCAACTGCCTCCAGGTCATGCGACCTGCCCCAGTCCCCCAGTTCTGGGCTCCTCCGGCTCCTCCATTGCCTGCAGCAATTCAGGCTGCACCCTGGGGTCTCTCCCTCAGCTTCCCTGTCCTCTGGCGCCCTCCCAGTCCTTGGGGGGGGGACAGTCTAGGGGAGCAGGGAGGTGAGGAGAGGAGGAGGGGCAGAGGGCCCCTAGGCTCCCAGACAGTCCCCAGGGGTCTCTCCTGAGGCCCCAACCTGCCTCCTCTCCACACCAGAGGGCTCACCATGGCCTGAGGCTAAGGCAGAGAGAGGGGGCTGAGTAGTGTGAGGAGGGGATGCCTGTTGGGGAGCAATCCTGGAATTCTACACCCTGCTCCTGGGTAACGAGGTCATCTGAGCACGTGCAGACCTCACGTGACTTTAATCCTACACCAGAATCCAGACCTCTGATCACAGAGCCAAAGGTCTCTTTTGGGCTCCTCTCCTTGAGCCTTTGGTCCTGTTCTCCTCCAGGCAAGGCTCTGAGACCCTGGGCCAGGGAAGCCACCCATAATGTCAGACCTGGGTGTCGCTTGAGAGAAAGCATTTACAGTGTTCCACCCCCTCCAAGCCATTCAGACTCTGGAAGTGCGGCCACTCACTGAGAGGTTTCAACAGCTCTCCAGGAAGTCCAACCTCCCCTTAAGGTCAGGAGAAACGGAGGCTCTGACAGGCAGAGGGTCTCAGCTGCCTGCATCCAAGCTGGCTAGGAGCAGAGTTGGGGCTAGAACTCAGGGCTCCTCCCTGGACATTTTCATTTCTTTATATCAAATGTCAGGGCCTTGCTCACATTTACTCGGTACCACCTACATGCTTCCACTTCAGCTTATCTCTCCACTTACGATGCGTCTCTCACCCTTTCCACAAAGGCAAGTTTACCTCTGCCTTCAAAACCCTGCTCAGAACTCCCCTCATGACGATCTGAGCAAACTCATACCAAACTCCCTTGCCTTTCCCCAGGCCCTAATCACTCTAGCTACCCAGGTGTATTCCCCTCCACCCATGGCTTCCCTGTTTCTCATCTGCCCTGGTTCTATCTCACTGTCTTGAATTGGGGCAGGGGTGCTGCCTGGGGCTCCGACCCCTGTGTGACTAGGAATCTTACTGTCTCCAGCTTCAGGCTAAGAGTTCTCCAAGAGTACAAACAGTGCCTCTCCCACCAAATCAGGAAACTTCCCTGGACAAAGAGGGAGCTTGGCTATGTCATTTCATCTTTCTGCCTATTGTTGGCCTTTAAGGTCTGTCAGCTATGAGAATCCCCACCCCCTTGAGTTCTCCATCAGTCTCCTCTTCTGAGGCTTTGATATTACACAGAGAACCAAAAAGGCTCTTTCTCAGCTTTTCTAGTTCTAATTATCTTCTCTACTCCTATTCTGGCCAACCCCATCCTCATGCCCCCTGGAATCCCAGTAGCTATCTCTTCTCCAAGGATAAATATGACCCAGCAACCACTTGTGGGAAGGGGACAAATCTGATGCAGTCAACCTCAGGAGTTACAGACTCCCTGGGGAGAGGGAGGGAGAGAGACAAACTGAGAGAGAGACAGAGACGGATAGATCTCTGTTCCAAAGCCAAGCTGAGCTGCCTGGATGAAGCACTTGTAATTTGAGAAAGAGAACTTAACAGGGAGTGAGAAACACAAATCTCTTTGCTTTCCTGAGGTTGGGGATGGGTGTCTCCAGTGAGTCCAGACCCTGAAGGTCAGGGGAGAAACGGAGGCTCTGAGGCAGAGGGCCTCAGCGTCCCAGAGCCTGGAGTTATTCTGGGAGCCATAACCAATTAGGTCTCCCAAAGGTATTAACACAGGTGTGATAATGGAAACATTAAGCATCTGGTAAGGCTGATCATCAGCATGGATGCCAGGGCTACTGCCTGAAGGCCCTGCTGGCCAGGGGTTGAGCTTTGGTTGCTGGATTTGGGGACATCTGGAGCTCCTGGGGCCTGGGAAACAGCTATTTATTATCTGGGACAGTACTTGCATATTTTAATAACTGTGGTTACCATCTGTTTCAATCTGGGAACACCTTCAGATCTCTCAGGATCTAACCCAGACCATCAGCCTGGTAGAATAACAGGCATTCCTGGGGAGTGGGCAGTGTGGGCACGGATGGGATTCCCATCCTTGGGGGCTCAGTCCTGAGAGACCAACCCATGTCTGAGCTCAGGCCAGTGACCCTGGAAGATCTGTCCCCATCTCCAAGAAAGCAAAGGGATGTTCCCGCCCCAGGCACGGGGGCAGAGCAGCAACTCACAGCAGGCGTGCAGGGGACAGCCCCTTGGGGTGAGTGTGGGGGAGAGAGGGTCATCCTCACGAGCACGGGCATCTCGTCGTCCGACATCGAGCTGGCTGGCTTGTCTCTGGCGGAGGGGGCGGCAACGACGCTGTTGGCGAAGCCCTGAGAGCTGGGCTTGGGCACGAGAAGCTTGACAGGGACAGACACGGGCATGACCATAGGCGTGAGGCTTTCTGCCTCAGGAGGGAGCTGCGGTGGCAGTGGAGGCGGCAGTGGCTGGGGCTGCGGTGGCGGGGCCTTCTCTCCTTCCTCCTACACAGACAATAAAGGCTTTGATCCTGGGCGGAGAGCAGCTCTCACAGGAGGAACGCGCTCTGCTTTTCCTGACAGGGTCCAGGGCATCATGCAGGGCGGCAGAGGACCACTGCAGGGCTGCTTCCTTCCTGCCACCCTGAGCTCCTCAGCTTGAGTGATGCCAGGGGGCAGTGGATTAGGCCATGCACTTTGTTTACACTGAAAAAATCTTGACCATGTATCACTTATATATTAAAAATGTTTTTTGTGTGGTTGTCATTGCTTTTAAAGAAAAGGATATGGCCTTGTAATCAGGCACAAACACACACACACAAGCTCTTGTGTAGGACCTTCGAATTCTATGGGCCTCAGTTACTCATCTGTTAAATGGAAGACAAAGCTTTTATCTGGCATGGTCAGGAGATGGAATGACCTGGGTAATCCAGCATTTTAATGAACAGAGAGTTAATTCCATAGACTTAAAATTAATCTCAGCAATATTCAAAGAATTGAGAAAATTCTTTGAATTTTAATCCAACTCTAAAACTGCGTGGATAGTTCACAACATGGGTATCCTCCTACCTGGATAATCCTGAGGGCGTTTAAAGATCTTTGGGTGCTAGAGTCTAACACTAGTGAACAGAAGATGCTGGCTGACAGCCTGGTGGTCACATGGAAGGCCCAAGTGACCCTGGCCTTGGCCGCTTCAAGCAGCAGAAGTTAAAAATAATATTACATCGACATGTTTTCCTGGCTGTCTTCTCCAGGAGGAGGGGAGGCTGGGATTCCCTAAAAGGATTTCTAGCACTTCTGTTTCTGACCCTTCTTCACGAGGCCAGTGGCCGTGGGGGCTGCTGACCTGACTGGTTCCCGGCGTCTGCGCTTAGCATCCCCTTAGGCGCAGGAAAGGACTGCGCCTCCCCAGGTGCCTGCACGGGGCTCGCCTCACTCTATCTGACGGCAGCAAAGCGAAGCAAGCAGCACATGGCCTGGGAAGGACGGGGGGCTGGCTCCGGCTAACCTGCTTGAGGCTGGGGGAGGCCCTCATTCCCCCGTGGGACCGCATGTGGCCATTCAGGGCAGGCAGGCTCTTGAACTCCTTCAGGCAGATGGAGCACGTCAGCTTGCTCTTGGCATCCATCTGCTCCCCAAACACTGCTTTCGGTTGGCCGCTGCTCCAGGGGAGGGCCAAACGGAGAGGACACATAAGTGAGGAAGGGGACAGTGATTCTTCTCAAGACCTCACACCCAGTACTCCCATGTCCGTGCCCCAGCTCTATCTCCCCAGTACCCTTCGGAGAGCTAAGCCCAATTTACAGATGGAAAACTGAGGCTCAAGAGTGGGAAAGGGCTTGTTCAAAGTCATGCAAGAGTTAAACAGAAAGTCCTTCATTCCAGGCCTTCAGGTGCTAGGTTTTCCCACCTACAGCTTATTACCTCTCTAGAGTCAGCTTCTTCCAGAACCTTCCCCTAGAGATGTGTGCCTAAGTCCTCTGGTTGCCTCCAGACTACATGTTTTAGCACTTTATCGGGTTTGGGCTAAGTTTTTAATTATTTACCATGCCCTTGAGGGGAAGAAACAAGTCTGAACTGTTCACTGTGCTTCTAAGCTTAGCTCTATGCCTGGCACACAGTAGCTACTCAATAAATGCTCACTGACTGAATGAACAGGTGGTGGACAGAACACAGGCTCTGCTGCTTACTTGATGTGCAAGTTTAAGCTCTCTGAGCCTCAGTTTTCACATTGTAAAATAACAGTAATAACAGCTAACAATTGAGTGCTCACCATATCTAGGAACATGGAAATCATGCCTAAAGTAACCTCACTGGGTTACTTTATTACACATAATGCAGAATGCCTAGCACACAGTAAGCGCTCAAACACAACAGCTGCTATTGTTATTATTCTTATAAACTTTGAGGAATTCACTTTGAATTTGGAATGAATCATAAGAGACAATGCAGGAACACCTCCCAGTCTCCCAAAATGCCAACAAGAGTCCTCCCATCCATCCTACCTTGACTCAGGGGACCCTGGCTGGGCTCTGCCATCAGGTAGGTGCATCTAATTTTGAGCCATGCAGGACATCGAAAGAAAGAACAGAGAGAAAAATGCATTTTTGAAGGGAGGAGTCCTTGAGCTGGAGAACCCTGGGGCCGCACTTCCTGGACTGTACCCAATCTCCACCTGGCACTAACCGTGCTCACAGTTGCTCACACTCATGCTCTTCCACACCTGAAACTTCTAACCTGGGACCACAGCCCACTCGAGGAGCTGCCACCAGCCATAGCCCTGCAGGACTCAGCCCCCTGCTCTGTGCACAGACAGGTCCCATCCCGTGGGAGACAGAACGGAGAGCTATAGGAAACAGCATCATGCCGGGGGACCTCCTGCTGAGATTCTCTCCCCGCCTTGACCATATCAGTCATTTTATATCAGAAAGGCTCTCAGTTACTACTGGGCCTGAGCCCCAAACAAAACAGAATCAAGGGGCGTTCATCTCTGGCCTTCAACCTCCCTCATAGCCCTCTCTCCATCTCACCTGGTCCTCTCCTCCCCTGACCACGTTGTCACATGAGTGTAGCACTTACTATGTCAACGCATGAACAGTATCCAGCACACAGCAGGCTGTTTTGTGGTCAAATACATTTGGGAAACTAACAAGGTTTAATAACTGGCGTACACGCTAAATCTGGCCCACTGACATATTTTGTCTAGACTGTTTTTAAAAATCCTGAATAAAAATACTATTAGATGGGGCACGTACTCTCCAAGTTACCACAGTCACCACCTCTCCTTATTGTCTCATCCCAAGCCATTTCACTTATTCACGTTACCTGCCTAGATCCTGTGGCCAGCTAAGGTTTTCATCTCTGCAACTACATGTGGTGTCTCTTTTGGGAGAGTCACAGTGCACATGAGCGTTTTAAAGGCACTGAGAAGCCCTGTAGCACTGCAACCTGTTTCACTTTAATAACCCCTAATTTATTATCCACAGACCTCCTCCAGCAATACCCATTAAACATTCTATGGAACTCCTATTCTGAGTAATATACTTTGACAAATGCTGTCATAATGTGGTCTCCCTCCCAAACGGGGAGCCATTTCACAGGCTGTACTCTGAGGATACAGATCCAAGGGGAGCCAGACACTCCCACCGTGTGGTCCCCGGGCACTTGACTCAAGGCCTTAGTCATTACATGCAGCATTCAGGACCTGATGCTGTGTCTTGGCCATTTTCTTAGTGAGATGAGAAGCTCTATGGGCAAAGGACTGAGTCAGTGCTGATTCTGCACTGCAAGTGCCTGGACACAGACAGTGCCTGGCACATGGAGCTTAAGGTTTGTGGAAGGAATAAAGTACAAACGGGTTGGAGAGAGCACTGGGCACTGCATCGACTCGGCCCTGCCTGGCCCTGGAGCCGATACCAGGAGAAACCGCCACTGTAAGAATACCTGAGGCCACATGGCACTGGGAGACAGCTGCTGGTGCTGAGGCCCCACGTTGTTGAGGTGGATTCCACTGGGGGACAAGAGTGGCCGATGGGGGAGGACACCACTGACCCGGTTGAGGTCCAAGTTTGCTGGGTCTCCCATTCCCGTATCAGAAGGCCCCAGGTCCCCATGGGTGCTCAGCATGGCCTGGGCCTGCCTGTCGCTTGGATAAGTCTTGGGCTGACTGTCCTCACGCTGCTGGTGCTGGGACAGGTGGCTCTGCTGGTAGAGGGGGTGGCTGTAGGGCTGCTGGGGCTCCTGGTAGTAGTACTGGGGCATGGAGCCCAGCTGAATCAGCTGCATGGCGTGCGCCTGCTCCGGGGTGTACTGGTGGGGGTCCCTGTGATAAGAAGGGGGCTGCAGATGCATCTGTTGCTGCTGCTGCTCTTGCAAGTGCTGCATCATGGGTGGGGACTGATAATACTGAGGTATCTGCATGGAACCCTGCCGCTGCTGCAGCTGCTGTTGCTGCTGCTGAAGCTGTGATGGGCGAATCTGCTGCTGCGGCGGCATTTCTTGCATGGACATACGCTGCTGCCCGGCTTGCTGCTGTTGCTGCTGCGGGTAATACTGGTGCTGCTGCATCTGTTGCATGTGCTGGGAAAGCATCTGTGGGCCTTGCAGTGGCTGTCCTCCCTGCACTGGCATCTGAGCCAGTGGCTGCTGGTAATCGTAATACAGGTGCCCTTGGCTAGGGTGCTGCCCGACCTGAAGAGCTGGTTTGGATAGCCCACTGGTGAAACCAGGGTGAGGCTGCTGGGGCACCTGCTGGTAGCGGGAAGGGACAGATGGTGCTGGGGGCTCCATGGGCTTCTGGGACAGCAGCTGGCGGAGGGCACTGTCGGGGGTTCCATCCATCACTGCTGACTGGGTGTGCAGCACCTGGGCCATATTGTTGACCTGAATCCGTAGGTTTTGGTTGGCAAACACCTGGGTGAAAGAGTCTAGCTTGTGCAGGACACCGCTGGTGAGCTTCTGGGTCCGGATCTCGCTGGCCTGGGAGTAGGTGTATTGGTAGCCTTCGGTGGGCTCCGCCTGGGCTGGCGCGCCCCACATCATGTTCGAGTTGGTCAGATTGCCACGGAGCTGGACGTGGTTCCCAGGCCCTGCGTGGCCACCCCACCCTCCCTGCCTCGAGGTATCCATTTGGCCAAGGTTTTTGGAGCCAACAGGCAAGCCTAGACCATCCCGAGTGTCTTGAGGGAAGTGGGGGGAAATGGGTGATGCCTGGGGGGCATCCATGCCAGCCCCCGTGACTGTATTCCCATAGTTGTGGTTGAGCCCACTGTGGACGCCGAGGGGTGGCTGTTGGTAGAAAAGGTTCTCACCGCTGTGGGTCACATGGTTGGTCTTGTACAGTTGCTGATCGCCCATGGCGCCTGCCTTGGTCGTGACTGTCCAGCCACAAAACCATAAAAAAAGGTCAGTGAAACAAACCCAAAAGGACGGAAACCCTGAGAAGGTGAGAGAAAGCGTCCACACTACTCCACGGCTGACATGTCTGTGGCGGTGGCTGGAGCCAGGTGTTCCTGTTGGCCTGTCCCACTCATGAGCAGAGAGGGGGGTTTTACATCCCCACCCGGGCTGAGGTACGGACCAAACACCACTGTGGTGAAGAGATGCTGCTCACACCTGCAAGACAGATGCAGAGAACAGGAGAGGGTTTACGTGGATGTTTCGCAATGAGCAATTATACCTACCATGGCCAGTTATAGAAATAAATACTGACAGGAGACTCAATTAGAAATGGTGTCCTACACACCACGCCCTGTATACTGATTCTACACATCTGACCCCCACTTTCAAGCCTTCATTACCCAGTGGCTCATCAGTTTATTGATTTGTAATGCATTGTTTTGCTCACTGATTAATTCATCCATTCTTCTGGGACCCCGCTATTGAAGGCCTAGCACTTTTCTAGGACGTGTGGGAGATTAGAAAAGAAGTTTAAGACATTCATTAATCAATTTATCTGCTCAACAAATACTTATTAGACACCTACTCAGTGGAAGGCACCCTAGGAAATGATGAAGACATGGGCCAGCTCTTGAGGAGCTTACGGTTAGAAAAGGTGACGAGTCCACAAATAAGTACAATACAAGGAGGAAAGAGATACATCTTATAAAAAGGTAAAAATCACAATATGGGACCTCAGACTGGGGAGCATATTCCCAGCAGAACAGAACTGGAGACAGTTTCCATGAGGAGTACTATGCTTGTTAGTCTGCCTGTTAGATCAACACAGCTACCTGCTTCCTCGGGGTCCCTGCTCAGGGAAACATCTGTGCAAGGGGCTGCCCACCTGGCCAGAGGCCTAAGAAGTGCCTGACACACAAAAATAAGCTGGGCCAATGAGACTCCTCTCTCAGAAGCACAAGCTAGAACTCTGGAGGGACTGGACTAGTCTGCTTTGAGTCTATACGGGGTCTTTCGTGGACTTCAAACTGGGGTATGTAAACCCCTGGGAGTAAACGAAGACTGTCCAAATGCTACACACGCACTCAGACCTTTAAGAGAATCAATCTCCAGATCCTCAATGTCCCTAGAAGCCCTCTTCTAGAGCTGATGGCTGATAGGGGTTTGAGTTGCCCTTGTATAGCGGCTCTTTCACAGCAGCCCTCCTCCTTTACAAAAGAAAGGCAAACCTCTTACCCACCCCATCCAAATGGCTCAGTTTACTGCCCCAGGGATTAAGTTCCTGGCCACCACACAAGAGGACACTTAGAAAATTGAGAAAGCAAGCAACTCTAATAAATGCGTAGTAAATCTTTTTTTTGCACGCGGGGTGGTTTCCAATTCCTTTTTTATTAGGAAGGCCAAACAGAAGTAATTAAAATGAAATTGTCCATGATCACTATGTGATTTTTGGCATATAACTAAGAAGCAGATCAAGAACTGAGTGACCCTGCTGTATCAAAATTGCATTTCTATCTACTAGCTCGTGTGAGTGAGGGATTTCAGGGCATATAAATGAAAAATGGAAAGACAGTCGATGCTGATCCTTGTCTCATGTCTCATGCAACAATAATATTCTTCTTCCCTGGATAAATAAACAAACTGAAGAAATAACCCAGTGCCAGCAATTATCACCTGGGTGATAAGTGCTGGGTGTGCTCAGCCTGCACACTCTGACCTAGCCACATACAGGTGTGCCTATAAAACAGTTTATTTGAGGTCACCCTGGTCTAACCCCTCTTACCACCTTGTCCAGCTCAGGCCCTTCCTCAACCATGCTGCTCCCTCTGTCTGGGATGTTCTTTCATTCTTTCCTCACTCGGCCAAGTGCTGCACATTCCTTAAGTCTGGCCCTAACTATCCCTTCTAAAAGGTGTTCCTGCCCCCAGAATCTACTGTATTAGCTGTTCCATGTACTTCTGTGAGCATTTAATACAATTAAATTAAAAATATTTGTGGAATACAAAAATTATTTTGAAGTCATCCAGCATCACCATCTCACTAAGAGATGCATTTTCAATATAATTTTAGTTTTTATGCTTATTAATTATTTATCCAAATTAGTGATACATTTGTGCTGTTTCGATCAACTGTACACTATTAATAATTGTACCAATAACTCAAACTAGGAGAAAATGTTAATACTTAGAGCTTTATGATTTCAGGAAATTAAAAAAGTTTTAACTTCATATAAAATTGTTACAGAGAAATATGATAGGGAAACAAATGAAAAAGTTTTAAGCATAAAAATATATTACACATATTACATCAGGATAAAATTCCATGGGGGACGTGAAACAGAAATAAAATTTCAAGAAAAAGAACGCTATTAACAGGCGGGTTCATGCATTTTTAAAATGGGTAATGGTAGGTATCAGACTGCTATGGTGTTTAGATTCTACTGGATAAATTGAAAACAATGATGTAATAGTTTTACTTAAAAATATTGATGTTTATAATATACTGGGAATTGCATCTTCTACAAATGTATGATTAAAAATGTAGACATAAGCTTAAAAATCTGTGACGGGGTATATAGTTTTACAAAATCCTTTTATGGGGGGTCCCCCTCCAGCTGAAGGCTAGCCCCAGGTGGTCCCTGACCCTTTCCAAACAACATAGGAGGAGATGACAAATCGGGAGCGAGGGTTCGGTTGGATGGAAGGATGGCTGGATGACGGAAAGCACTGGGAAGTTATGCATGAGCCACGAATGACCCCTGAAGACTTCTGAGCAGAGGCCTAAGGACTTGGGTGTGAGGGCGCTGAGCTTCAGGGGAGGGAGACCAGCGCCCCTCGCTGCTCGCACCGTGGTCTATATCCCCGGGNGACCAGCGCCCCTCGCTGCTCGCACCGTGGTCTGTATCCCTGGCGAGCTTCAGCCCAGATCTATTCAACAGAAGCTGCATTTTATTGAGACCCCCAAGTTGCTTGTGTGCACGTTGAAATTTGAGAAGCAATGGGTCAGCAGGTTCTTGCTGCATCCGGGTCAGACATCATTAAGGCCTGGACTTGGGGAATGGTGAGCAGGAAGAGATGGAGAAATGAGAAAACATTCCCCATGCTGCCAGTGGGAAGTGACTGTCCCTCCTCCAAGCGCCCTGCCCTTCGGGGCTGACGGCCCAGCCTGAGGAGATACCCCTTCTTTCCTCACACATGCTCTCTCGACATCCTCAACTACCGCACGTACCTTGCTCACGCCCAGTGACTACTCCCAGCTCAGAGGGGCTGCCTGCTCCACTTCACCATTTCCATGTTCAAAGGCAAACTCAACATCACCTCCTCCAGAATGGACGCTTGTCCAGAGTCTTCCCCGTGACTCCTCCCTCGCCCTTAACCGACCACCTCAACCTAACAATTCACCTCCCTGTATTTTCTAACTCCATCCATCTTTCTGCAGTTCCACTACTATCACCCTAGTCCAAGACGCTGTACTTGTCTCCTGGACTATTTCAACAGCCCTCCAGTTGGTCTCCCTGCTTTCAGTCTGTCCAGCCCCAGACAGCAGAAGCAGAATGAACTTTTTCAAAACATGACTCTGATCCCACTGCTTCATGGCACCCTATTCAGGGCCACCCATTCATGGCATCCTAGCGCTCCCAGGTCAAAAATCAAAAGCAATCTATAGATTCAATGCAATTCCTTTCAAATTACCAATGGCATATTTCACAGAGCTAGAATAAATACTCCGAAAATTTATATGGAGCCAAAAAGACCCCGAATAGCCACAGCAATCTTGAGAAAGAAGAACAAAGTTGGAGGGATCACAATACTAGATATCAAGTTATCTACAAAGCCACTGTCATCAAAACAGCCTGGTACTGGCACAAGAACAGGCATATAGATCAGTGGAACAGAACAGAGACCCCAGAATTGACCCACGCCATTATGGTCAATTAATATTTGACAAAGGTGGCAAGAACATACAATGGAGTAACGACAGTCTCTTCAGTAAGTGTTGGGATAATTGGACAGGTACATGCAAAAAAAAAAAAAAAGAAACTAGACACCATACACAAAAGTAAATTTAAAATGGATAAAAGACTTAAATGTAAGTTATGAAACCATAAAAACCCTAGAGGAAAAGGTAGGCAGTAAAATATCAGACATCTCACACAGCAGAATTTTCACTGATACAATGCCTAGGGCAAGAGAAACAAAGGAAAAAAGAAACAAATGGGACTACATGAAAATAAAAAGCTTCTGCACAGCAAAAGAAATCAGCATCAAAATGAAAAGGGAGCCGGCTGGGTGTGGCTCAGCGGTTGAGCCTCGACCTAGGATCCAGGCGATTGGGGTTGGATTCCTGGTCAGGGCACATGCCCGGGTTGTGGGCTCAATCAATGACTCTCTCATCATTGATGTTTCTATCTCTCTCTCTCCCTCTCCTTTCCTCTCTCTGAAATCAATAAAGATATATTTAAAAAAGAAAAGAAAAGGAAACCCACCGTATGGGAGAACATATTTGCCAGATGTATCCGATAAGGGACTAATTTCCAAAATATATAATGAACTCATACAACTTAACAAAAGGAAGACAAACAACCTAATTAAAAAATGGGCAGAGGACCTGAATAGACATTTCTCCAAAGAGGACATACAGATGGCCAAGGGACATATGAAAAAATGCTCAACGTCACTAATCATCAGAAATGCAAATTAAAACCACAATGAGGTATCACCTCACACCTGCCAGAATGGCTCCATCAACAAATCAGCAAACGAAAAGTGCTGGCGAGGGTGTGGAGAAACGGGAACCCTGGTACACTGCTGGTGGGAATGCAGACTGGGGCAACAACCACGGAAAACAGTGTGCAGTTTCCTCAAAAAATTAAAAATGGAACCGCCATTTGACCCAGTGACCCCATTTCTAGGAATATATCCTTAGAAACCCTAAAGACCAATCAGAAAGAATATATGCACCCCTATGTTCATAGCAGTGTTATTTACAACGGCTAAGATCTGGAAACAGCCCACCAGCAGATGAGTGGATAAAAAGCTGTGGCACATTTACACCATGGAATACTACGCAGCTGTAAAAATGAAGGATCTCTGACCCTTTGTGACAGCATGGAGGGACCTGGAGAGTATTATGCTAATCAAAATAATCCAGTCAGAGAAAGACAAGTATCACATGATCTTACTTATATGTTGAATCTAATGAACAACATAAACTGA